GGTTATAAATTTGATCTTATTTGAATAGCCTCTCTAGTTCATGTTTGTTTGACACGTTTCTCTTATATGTAGCATATATTTTAGATTTTAATTTTTTACACACCTGAGCTTTTAGAATGTTTTGCTATTAATATAACACACATATTTAGCATTACTTCTGTCGTCACATTTTATGTTAATTGTTCATCTTTTGATGTTTCCTTGGTTTCTATCTTTTGCTAAAACTCCTGTCATGTATTATTTCCCTGAGGACCTGCAAACATTCACTACTTCCTTCTGGTATGGTGTTATACTAGAGAGAAATAAGATACCAGATTGATTTTTCCCCCCTGTAAGTTAATTGCTTTTTTTGCTTAAGCATACTGAAGACTTGACTTGTAAAATTGTGAAGCTCTTTAAATTTCTATAGCCAGGTATATGTGGGTGTTAGTTTTTTTTGTATCCGTCGTTTGTTTTGTTTCCTAGAACAAAAGATACCCTATTGGATGATGAAGGTTTCAGAGTACTTCTGAACTTTTTCTCCTGCTTTTTCTCTGAACACTTTCCCCCCATGCTACTTGTTCTATTTTTTTTTTTAATACAAGCATCTCTTTTTTTGTAACTTTATGTTATTATCTTTAAAGGCTTCTAACTCTACCACTTTCTCCAGATATCATTACTAAACTTTTGTCTTTGCTGGGCTTTGTTTGCTCAAGTATTTCCTACCTATTTCTAGGTGTGCTTTCCGCATTGTCAATTCTGGTTTTTATTTCCCTTTATGTGGCTTTAACTGGTAACACTTTCTCTGCTTGTCTCCTTCTTTGATATCTTACACACCTTATTTTAACCTTTATTTCAAGGAAATACATTCTCATTAGCTCTTTTTTAAATTTCAGATCAATATAAGGGTACACACCGATTAGGTTACATTGTTTGCATTTTTTAGGTCAAGTCCAAGTTTCAGTTGAGCCTTTCACCCAGGAGCTGTGCCATATACTCCACACTGTACCCACTAGCTGAGAGCTTACCACACTGCCTCCCCCTTAGCTCCCATTCTTGAATTTAAATATGTTTTTCTCTGCTGTGGGCATGTAGATGTTTATGAGTTTCATATTAATATTAAATTAAATATTAAATTGGATGCTTATTTTTCCATTCTTAGGAGAACATTCTCCAAATCCTTCCAGGTAAATTCAAAAGATGTGAAGTCTCCATCTTTCTTTGTGGCTGAATAGTATTCTAGTTTATTTATCCATTCCTGGGTTGATGGAGACTTAGGTTGTTTCCATATCTTTGTGCTTATGAATTGAGCTGCTATAAACATTCTAGTGCAAATGTCCCTATGGCATAGTGATTTTTTTTTCTTCTGGGTAGATACCTACTAATGGGATTGTAGTATCAAATGGAAGATCTATTTTTAGCTCTTTGAGGATTCTCCATATTTCCTTCCAAAGAGACTGTGTTAGTTTGCAATCCCACCAGTAGTATGAAAGTGTTCCCTTCTCTCAACATCCATGCCAACATTTGCAGCTTTGGGATCTTGTGATGTGGGCTATTCTTACTGGGGTTAGGTGATATCTGAAGGTGGTTTTGATTTGCATTTCTCTGATGACTAGGGACAATGAGCATTTTTTCATGTGTTTTTGGCCATTTTTCTGCCTTCTTAGGAGAAGGTTCTGTTCATGTCTCTTGCCCAGTGAGAAATGGGATTGTTTGCTCTTTTCTTACTGATTAGTTTGAGTTCTCTGTAGATTCTGGTTATTAGGCCTTTGTCAAATTTGTAACCTGTGAATATCTTCTCCCATTCTGAAGGCTGTCTCTTTGCTTTAGTTTTACCCTTACCTGTGCAGAAGCGTTTTAGCTTGATCATGTCCCTTTTATTTATTTTTGGTGTTGCTACAATTGCCAATGGGGTCTTCTTCATAAATTCTTCTCCCAGGTCAATATTGTTAGCTCTTTTAGGCTCGCCAACGATGTTTAAAATTTTCTTCTGCCCTGTGCCCTCATTATTCTATGAAGAATATCTCATATACATTCGTCATGTTCTTTTATTTTATTCTGTGAATTTTTAAACATTTCTGGGTAGGAAAGCTTAAAAGTTGCCTCAGAATAATTTCTTATCCAATTTTCTTGTCTCTTCACTGGTCTCCTATCACTTTGCATTAGGAAACACCTCCCTTGCTTCCATACTTCCCCTTAGAAGAGGAGGCTTATGTGTCTCATGGGGAATTTCTGTATGTTATAGGTTGTCTGCTGGATATTTTGCATTTTTTTCTTTTCAGTTCACCTTGACCAGTGTCTGTCAAGTTCATTGCTATTGATGCTTCCTATTGTACCCAGCTGTTTTCCCTCCTTGATTCCTGGGAAAAGGAGGGGAAAGAAAGGCATCTATGCATTAATTGCCCTTCAGCTTCAGTGTACCTGCTGTGCTGAATCCACCTAGAGACCTCTGCCACTGTGTGCCTCTACCTCTATATTTTACCTCTAAATAAGAGCTATGTCAGCCATTTCTTGAGTTGTTTCACCTATTTTGTGGAATTTTTTTACTCTGTTTTAATGTGTAGGTTGTGTGTGCTGTTGGCATTCTCTCTGATCTGATATCTTCTGCTATGAATACGTAACCAGTGTCTCTCCTGTGTCATTTGTAGCTGTGTTAAGGATACTTGTAGTTTCCTTGGAAATGACTATTTCTTTTCTATTTTTAATTATTTTTGCTATTTGGGGTGATGTTAAGGAGGGCAGAACAGTAGAAATACTGCTACACCTTCAACAAGACAACAGACTAACTGGATGTCAGTTAATTGAGTGCTCATTAAATATTGATCAGTGTTTGCTCAATTGGTTGACTAGAAGAACTCAAGACTTGTAACACAATCTTGGGAAAATTAAGGTAAAATCCTTGAAATAATTTACACATTCCTTTGAATCAGATGTACATCCAGATTGGTGGAAATATTGATTGCCAAGACCTCCAGTGATAGGGAGAGAGTAGGATTGAAATTGTGGCTTTAGGGATGTCTGATATTTGAATAGGTGTTGTAAGAATTTTTCAAACACAAAACAGAGCACGAATCTCTGGATATTTGTTCTCCACCAGTATTTCTTCATTGAGAATAGCCAGACCTCTTGGAGGAGAGTTGAAATGGAGTGAATAGGAGAGAAGTTGCCAGCTCCTATGTAGAAGAGTGGGCACAGAGAGAAGGGGGAGATGGTGGTCAAAGGAGGCAAAATGCTAGACGGAGGGATAAGTTTTTGTTTGGTTATGTTTTGTTTTTTGAGCACAGCTTGGTGAATATAATAGTGTATTATACATTTTAAGATTGTTAAGAGTTAAGGTGTTAGAAATGTCCCTAAAAAAGGAGAAAGAATAAAAACAGTATTTTCAACATCGCATTTCAAATGTTCTTGCCTCAGAAAAATAAGTATTTGAGGGGATAGATGTATTGTTTAGTTTGATCTGATTATTCTACACCGTATTTGTAAATCTTAACATCACTTTGTATCCCATAAATATATATAATTATAAACTTCCAATTTACAATAAAATTAAAAGGTTTTAAAAATAAAAAAATTTAGAGAGTGAATAGGCATGTGGAAGGATTTTTGAAAGTCAGCAAGCTTATCTTGGATTTAGGAGGAAGCCCGAGTAGGTTTCTTTGACTGGGGAATGCCATGATGAAATCTGTATTCAAGGAAAAATTTGTTTTTGTTTGTTTTTAAAACAGCTTTATTGAGCTGCGATTTGCATGCCTGTATATTTCATTCATTTAAAGTGTACTGTTCAGTGGTTTGTAGTGTATTCACAGTGAAGGAGAACTCTATCCAGCAACTGAATGGAGACATTGGATTTGATTCCACTGAGACTTGGCCAGTCCCTGTTTGTGCCCAAAATTGTGCACAGGGCAGCACAGGCAACAATTCCCATCTCAGGAAACTTTGTCTGGTAGAGTCAAGAAACTGATTTTGAAAAATCTGACTCTATAATAACTATTTTCAGTACCAGAGTCCATCTCAACTCAGGTCATCTTGGCATAGCTGTGCTGTGTTGCCGGTAAGGTCCTATGAACAGGGCTAGTCTCTCATGATTTTATTCCACTAAAGTAGGTTCTGTGATTTGTACAGGGTAGTTTATAAAGTTTGCCCAAGTCATTGGAATCTGATCACTGTGTATAAATTTCACTGAATTTTAAGCAGCAACATTTGTGTTCTATATTTTCTGCCTGCTCCTTTCTAAGTCAGGTTTCTGCCCTCCGATGGCTGGCCCTGTCCTCCTCTCCACTGCCGATGCCTATGTTGTCTTCAGTCACCCCTGGGCTGTCTGAACTCATCTGATATTCTTTTATCCCCTTGTCGTGCAGCACTATCATGTATTGGCACTTTGCTCTGTGGTTGTTTTTATGTCAGTCTTGCTTAATCATTTAGAATTATAGACTGCGTGAAAGTGTAAAGAACAGTCTATATTTAATTTATTTCTACATCCCGTGTGACTCAGGTGATTTGACCATGTGTTTTGACCTTTGTTGAGGTGGTAAATGGACATACAATTAAGGAAGGTCAGTATTTTATGAACTAAGAACATACGTGACCAACAGAGGGATTTTTGTTGTCTTTTATTTATGATGTTTACTTATTTGAAAGTCCTACAAAGACTAGTCATATTTATCAAATCAACTTTATAGGAAAAAAGAACGTGAAGTTGAGAGTCTTCTGGTCAATGAGAAAGTGTTAACATAAAACCTTTTAGTTAGAAATTGAATGTAAGTTGTTTTTCTGTAAACATGTATAAAATATTACCTCCTAAAACAGATGCATGCCTTAAGTGTAAATTTTCCTTAAAATATTGATCCTTGTGATATTGGTCATATATATTTTATGAAAGAACCACTGCTACAGCCCTGGGGCTCATTATTCCTTAACAGCTGTGTCCAGCTGGTGGTCCACATTCCCTGCTACTTGTTCAGTGAATGGAAACATTTAGGTCAATATTGATATAAAACTTCGTGAACTTTCTTCTTTTTCAGCTCTGGTTCGCCTTTGTTAATGGATTTTCTGGGCAGATTTTATTTGAACGCTGGTGCATCGGCTTGTACAATGTGGTAAGCATTCTTCATCTCTATCTGATAGCATGCAGAACTTCAGCGACATTCCTTCACTGTTTATGTCTGGGAAGTGTATCTAAGTCAATCATCTGTATACTTAGCAGGCAGTACAAATACATCTTTAGGCCCTTTGTTGCTGTGACACATCCTGCAGAAGCCCAAACTCTCCACACATGGTTTCAATCATAGCAGATCATTCTTGAATAACCCCATGAAATTATTAACCCATATATCTTGATAATGGACCCTTGTTACCCTACCCCTTACTAAATGCACATGCAACATTTTCATGTTTTTAGCTCAAGTAAAAATTTCTGAACATCTGAACTCATTCTGCTTCATTATTTTGGTTCTGAATTCTTAAACATAGGTATGAATAGAGAGTATGCAATCTAGCGTGTTTCTTGCCCTTCTTGAAAGAGTATCTGTCCTTCTGGAAGAATGTTTCTTCCACAGTCAGAGCTGAAATAATGAATTCTGACTTCCAGCTACTGTGGAGGATGGTAATCTGCTCATCTGGTACTTTTCATGATTTCCATGTTCTTTTTTTATTACTTGGCTGTAATGAATACAAAAGCTAGAAATAAATAAAATCTATAAGCTAAAATGACTCAGTAGCTGCCTAGCATTCTTGCTTTTTGTTTCACTGGCAGGACGCACTAAGGGGCTTGCATCGGAGTGCTCTCAAGACCCCAGAATGGCTGGTTTCTTGAGTCACATTCTCCCACTCGCACTGAACCCTAACTCAGGCAGCCTCTGCTCCATGAAAGTTTATATTGTGAAGCAGCCATCATAGATGCATATAGGTGGAAGTCACCAGACATGCAATGACGTGATATGAGGAGCTATAAATATGTACAGTGTATACATCCCTTGGTGGCTGGATATTTAAGTCATCTGTGCATTCCGTGCTCCTTTCTGCTGGATGCTGGGTATAAAATGCTGAATATAGCAGCTTGCCCTGCCCCTGTGTGTCTTACAAGGTTAAGTGGGTGAGATGTGTGCACTCAGACACCTTCAAGCCTGGAGTTGGATGTGGAATTTAAATTGTGCTGGTGAGTTGGTAACTCTTACTTGGGGAAGAGTGCACCTCTTCCTTGCAGATACTGATGGCCTAAAAGATGAAAGTGCACACACACACTGAACCTTTTTTTTTTTTTCTGTGCTAGAAAAGGTACTCTAACTGCCTATGCTATGGATAGGGACTCAAGGGCCTCCCCTTTGTGTAGTAAGGCGATCAGAGACTGCTAACTCTGCAGGACTTGAAACTTAATTCCAGTAGGTTAGAGTTATGCAGCCACTTGGGGGGAAGGGGAAATGGTTCTGTAATTATTCAGTGTTTAAGTGTCCTGGAGTTGACACTTCACACAAATGTATGCCACGTACCTGTTTTATAACAGGACACTGATGTGTAGGACCCCATGCTGCAGAGCCAAAGACAGGATGGAATGCTTGTCACCGGCACTCAGAATCAGTGGATTGTAGCCCTATTTCCATGCTCATACAGCCTTGGGTAACTCAAATTAATCCAACAGAATTTTTTGAATGCTTACTACACACCAAATGCTGATAGACTAGAGAGCAGTGTTGATCAAAATAAGGCCCCAGACCACTCACCCAAGAATTAGGATCGATGGGAAAAAATGCAGATTCCTAAATCCTATCTCAGCCTAACAAAGAGTATCTCAGAGATACTGAATTTTAAACAAAATTGTCTAGTTATTGTTATACACATTAAACCTTAAGACCCACAGGGACATTTGACTGCTGGGGCTGGGAATATGTGAGGTTTTTGACCTTGTGGCAGAGAAGTATATTTCAGAAGTGAAATGGGCCAAATTTAACACAGTGCAGGCATTGAAGCCGGCTGCCAAGGGGTGCTGGCAGGTGGGACGAACCAGTGGGAAGGTCAGGGAACTGCTAAGTGGGCTCACAAGGGTCCCTGGCATCCAGAATCAGTCATGCTGGGGGGCAAGGCACAGATGACATTCAGGGCATGAGGTTTGCCTCCATGGAAGCTGTTCTGATGACTTTTACATGAAATACTTTGAAACTTAGAGAAAAGTTGAAAAAAGAATACAAAGAACTTCTTTGTACCCTTCACCCAGATTTATCAATTATTAGCATTTTGTCCCCATTTGCATTCTCTCTATTCACACTTGTGCCTACACTGGTGCACACAGACACTGAACCAGCAGGGTGTGTGTTGCCCCTTTAATTAATTTAAATTAATACTTTAGTGCAGAATTGCAAGATGTTTCTTTTAGGTAACCACAGTATAACAATCAAATCAGAAAGCTTTAACATGGATACTTTTTTTTTTTTTTTTGAGACAAAGTCTCACTATGTCCCCTTCAGTAGAGTACCATGGCATCACAGCTCATAGCAACTTCAAACTTTTGGGCTTAAGCAATTCTCTTGCCTCAGCCCACCAAGTAGATGGGACTACAGGCACATGCCACAATACCCAACTTACCAGCCTGCCCTTCTTAAATTTAATTGTGTTGCTTTTTTGTTTGTTTGTTTGTAGTTGTCATTGTTGTTTAGCTGGCCCAGGCTGGGTTCAAACCTGCCAGCCCTGGTGTATGTGTCTGGTTCCCTAAGCTACGGGCGCTGAGCCAACATGGATACCATTATCTAATCTATATTGGTCCATATTCCAGTTGTGCTGTTACTGTCCCAGTAATGTCATATTCAACAAATTTCCCAGGCCAGTATCACTCCAGAGACCCCCCTGCAAGGATAGTGTTTGTTTGTTTGTTTGTTTTTTCAGAGACAGAGTCGTATTTTATCACCCTTGGTAGAGTGCCATGGCATCACAGCTCACAGCAACCTCCAGTTCTTGAGCTTAGGTGATTCTTTTGCCTCAGCTTCCCAAGTAGCTGGGACTATAGGTGCCCATCACCTGCAACCTGGCTATTTTTTGTTGCAGTCTGGCTGGGGCTGGGTTTGAACCCACCACCCTCAGTATATGGGGCCGGCGTCCTACCCATTGAGCCATAGGCGCCACCCTGAGAGGACAGTTTGTAATGTGTAAGGCATTTGCTAGTGATCCCCACTGCTGGGCTGGATTCTCCCTTGCTATTTTCTTCAAGAAGTCTTTCTCTCCTGCTTTTTCTTCTTCTGCATTTTTCTTCTTCTTCTTCTTTTTTTTTTAAAACAATTTAAGATTAATGTAAGGGTACATATGATGAGGTTATAATGTTTGCTTTTGTAAGGTATAAAGTCCGAGTTGTCCAATATACTCCTGTGTTGTAGCTATTAGGTGGGAACTTGCCAGCCTGCCCTTCTTGAATTTAATTGTGTTTTTCTCTTGTATGGGCATATAGTTATTAATCTATTAGTTTCAACTTAGCATTAAGTACATGGGATGCTTGTTTTTCCATTTTTGAGACATTTTACTAGGAAGAATGTTCCCCAGATCCATCTAGGTAAATACAAAGTCTCCATCTTTTTAATGGCTAGATAGTATTTCGCGGTATACATATACCACAGTTTATTAACCCATTCATGGGTTGTTTCCAGCTCTTTGCAGTTGTGAATTGAGCTGCTATAAACATTTGAGTGCAAATGTCCTTATGATAAAGTAATTTTTTTCTGCATTTTTTCTTTATGCTTGATTCCCCAAGGCAGCTAAAGGAGCAAATCACTGTTTCTGAGTTTAATTCTCATAGCAGTTAAGTAACATTAAAATAGTCTTGAAACTCTCACATCTCCCCCAGCTGTCTCATTATGTTCTCACTATATGCATAGTCAAATTTCTGTATCATTTTATTTTGTGAGTGAAATGAGATTAAAAGGCCACCAGGGACAAATGCTACCAGGATCAGGTGAATTGTAGCTAAATTTCATATATTTCTTAGTGAAGAGAGAACTGTATGTTATTAAGCCTGTTATAGAAAAACAACCCTGTTGTCAAGCCAGCATAATTTGAAGAAGGAAACTATGGGCCCACCTCATTTAAAGACATAAACACAAAAATTCTAAATTAAATATCAGCAAACGGAGGGCAATTGTGTAATAAAATAATGAAGTATTTGATCAAATATGATTTATTCCAGACATATAGGAAGGAGGTTTGAAATTAAAAAACCTTTCTAAATATCACTGTCTCGACAAAATAAAGTAGAAATAAATGATCCAGTCAGCAGATGCTACAAAAGTTTGGAAGGAATTCAGCTGCTATTTCCTAAATAAGAACTCTCAAAGAGGAATAGAGAGAAGCCAGTTAACCACAATCCATACTATTTACAAAAAACAGTTGCATGTTGCCATAAATGGTAAAATTCTATAACTATATCCTTTTAAATAAGAATTAGTTAAGATGCCTTCCATCAGTATATAATTCAGCACTGTTTTGGAACTTTTTGCAGCAGCCAGGAAGATTAAATAACTATTACAAATGTTAAGAAAACAACGAACAAATTCTGTGCTTATACAAATATGCTCACAGATGATATGGCCATGTAAATATGCTCATATATAATTACTTATCTAGAAACCCAAAAGATAGTAATAGAAAAATACTACAATTATAAGAGAATTTTATAAGGTGACCAAATAAGTGATAAATATATAAAAATCAGGACCAGGTGTGATAGCTCACACATATAATCCCAGAACTTTGGGAAACTGAGGCAGGATGATCACTTGAAACCAGGAGTTGGAGGTGAGCTTTTATAATGATACCACTGTACTCCAACCTGAGAAAAACCCTATCTAAAAAAAAAAAAAAGAAAAGAAGAAAGAGAAAAAAAAATCACTTTTGTCTATCTTAGATTAATAGCTTTTCTTTTTCACTCTAGCAATGGACATCTAGAAACAAAATACAAACTGGGTATTATGTAGTAATTCCTTTTGAAATAGCAATTAAAATTATACATGATAGGAATAATTTTTATTGTGCCTACGTGAAAAAATAAAGTTTTATTCAAGTATATAAGTTAAGATTTGAACAATTGGAAAGCATACTGTTTCCTTATATGAGAAACCAATATCATAAAAAAATCAACCCCTCTAAAATTAATGTGTAAATTAATGTGATGCCACATAAAATCAATCCCAATGGGGGATTGTTTGGAGAGGAAGAAGGGGACAAATTGTAAAATTTTATTAAATTATAAATGGAGTTAATGAGTACTTGAGAATAAGTATGCACAGCACATTCTGTCATGGGGTAGACATGTCTTTACTAAATACAACTCTACCAGAAAGCAACCACAGCCAACCAGTGTCATTGGAAAAGAACTAAATAATTAACAGAGAGATTCTATAATGAGATCTCAGTTTTAGATTCTACTATGTGAAAAGTTGATAAAGGTTAAAGATGATCTTTCAGTTTAGTGAGAAAAGTTTGGATTAATTGTGCTCTCACAGAAAGCTCTTTATTTGGAAAAAAATTGGATTCTTATACATTCATAAAAATTAATTCCAGATATAATAAAGACTTGAATGTGAAAAATAAGGCTGTAATAATCCTACAAGACACTTCTGAAACCACGTTAAGTTTCAAGAAAGGGAAACTTCTATAACCACCATTGGACACTCAGAAGCTATTCTTGACCCTTTAAACATTAAAAGCTTTTTGCCAGGTCCTTGTATGAACTTGTGTCTATAGTACCAGCTACTTGGGAGGTTGAGGTGGGAAGACTGAGTGCTTTGGCCCAGAAGTTTAAGACTAGCCTGGACAATGTAGCAAGACTCCATCTCTAAAACCATTTTTTAAAAACTAGCCAGATGGGATCAGCACCCGTATCACAGTGGCTACAGCATTGGCCACATACACCGAGGCTGGCAGGTTCAAACCCAGCCCAGGCCAGCTAAACAACAATGGCAACTGCAACAAAAAAACAGCCAGGCGTTGTGGCAGGTGCCTGTAGTCCCAGCTACTTGGGAGGCTGAGGCAAGAGAATCACGTGGGACTAAGAGTTGGATGTTGCTGTGAGCTGTGACAGCACAGCACACTACAGAGGGTAGCATAGTGAGGCTCTGTCTAACAAAAAAGAAAAAAAATTAGCCAGATGATATCGCTAGTTCCTGTAGTCCCAACTACTCAGGTGGGTTGAGGTGGGAGAATTGCTTGAGCCTAGGAGTTTAAGACCAGCCTGAGCAATATAGTAATAAATAAATTAATTAAAATAAACATTAAAAGCTTTTATATGGAAAAAGAAACCATTTTAAAACTCAGTAGACAAATGTTATAAGGGGATAAACCATAGATAGAAAATGGGCCTAAGCCCCTGACTAGACATTTCATAGAATTGCAAATCCAAACGTGTGCGCACACACATACACACACACACACACACACACACATACCACACACACACAATAACATACACATATACACACCTATACACACACATACTTCAAATATATAAAAATTTAATGAAACACTCTGGTAGTTGGGGAAATGTAATTTTTTGAAGTAAGAATTAATGTCTTTAATTTTTCAGACTGGACAATATTAAAAGACCAATATAGTAACCATTGATGATAGGGAATCAGGATGAAGTGTGCTGTTGTCTTTTGCAAGGCAGGGGGAAGAAAATGATCGGAAACTTTTTTGAAAGCAGCCAGGCAACATCTAGTAAAATTAAAAATACAGTAACCCTACTGCTGGGCCTCCTTCCCATATAAGAAATACAAGAATATGGTAATACAAGAATTTCAGTAATACAAGAAAAATTATATATGTCATGATGATTTATAGATGTTTGTTCCATGTTTGTGGTAGCGAAGAACTGGGAATAAAATGAATGCACATCAGCGGGTGAATGGCTAAAAAAATAATGGTACATCTGGACTTTGAATTATTTGAAGGGACTTGGAGGGCTTTTTGTGATATATTGTTTAGCGAGAAAATTATAATGAAGCAAAATGTATATCATGTTCACTTTCTGTAAAACAAACCACGATTTCCAACACTGCACATGTGCACGCGCAGTTACACAGTGGACGGCAGAGTGGAAAAGTCGTAGCACTTACTGGGCTTCGTTGTAACCTAGAGATGAGGACAGGACAGGATCTGAAGTGGGGAGAAGTAGAAAGTCAGGTGAAAAAAGACATGCGTGATATCATATTAGCAGTGATGCAAAGCAGTGGAGGTGAAGGTAAGCCCTGAAAAGTGTGTGGAGATTCTGAGATGTTTGATCGGAGCTCCTTTTAGTCACAAAACAGACAACTAGTGGGGGCTGTATGCACAAGGCAACTGCACATCAGTTTCTGCTTGCAGTCTTGGTAGCACTCTCAACTCTCAAATCCCAGGGCACCTTCTATTCTGCTCTGGGCTGAAGGAAGAGGGTGAGCCTTTGCCAGCCTTGGTCACCACACCTCTCACTGTGTGATCCTAGCAGAGGCGGGGAAGGCTTTCTCTGGCCACGTACTCAGTCTCTAGATCTTGGCGTGAGCTCTTCTCCTGGAGACACACATACTGTTCCCATAGGCCTGAGAGCTTCTGGGTCTCTGGGTGTGGCTTCGATTGATGCTGACACTGGGCAGTGAGTATCCAGGCCCAGAATCAAGTAAAGAATGACCTTCAGGCCACATCATGCCCTGGGTGGAAATTACATGAAGTGGCATGTTTCTTCCAAACCCTTCCTCGCACCCAGCTTTATCTTCCTAACGCTGAAATGTGAGCATGCACCACATGCCTGTGAGTACAAGTGAAAGTTAGAGTGTTAGAAGGTGCCATCTCCCCAGGAAGTCATTGTCACAGGAGGGTATTTGGTGTCCTCCCGTCCTCATCTCACTCCACACCCTCAACTAGCCACTGTCTACCATCCATGTGTTTTGGAAGATCCTTCTGACGAAAGACAAAAATTACAAACATTTAAAAATCAAATTCGGCGCGGTCCCTGTGGCTCAAAAGCGGAAGGCGCCGGTCCCATATGCCGGAGGGTGTGGGCTGAAGAGTCTGGGCACGGTGGCTCACACTTAGAATCCATGCACGCTGGGAGGCCACAGCATGAGGACTGCTTGAGGCTGGGAGTTTGACACTAGCTTAGGCTACATAGCAAGACTGTGTCTCTACAAACAAAATAGAAAAATCTGCTGGATGCAGTATTATGCCCCTATTGTCCCAGCTACCTGGGCAGCAGAAACAGATCACTTGAACCCAGGTGTAATCCGTGATCACACCACTCCACTCTAGCCTGGGTGATAGAGCAGGAAGCTGCCTCTTGAAAAAAATGAGAAAAAGGCACAAGAAATCAGACACAGAACAAAAGCTGATTGGTTCTTTCAAACGACTAGAGAGTTGGAATACGAAGGGACTCCCTTCTGCGGCTGGCTCAAGTTAACTACGTCCTTTCAGATCAGTTGCTTTGAATTTCCTGAGGTCTTTTTTGAAAACTCGGGTATTTCACAGTTCAGTTGGATGAAGCCACTGGCAACAGGAGTGACTCGGTTCTGTTTTCATCTGGTCTGCTGGGGCCAAATGCCAGAGCTAAGTCCAAGTGATGACCTCCCATCAACTTTGTTCAACACCTCCAAATATGCTCCTGGATATCACTGATGCCTCGGAGTGTTGTCAGGGTGTATCTCTCATAGGGAAGCTTCCTGGGGTGCCCCTCATCCCCACGCTGTCATCCTACTGGACTCCATGGGTCCAGTACCTTGCAGGTCAGATAGCCTTTGGTGCAAGAATCTTTTCATGGCTCTCCCGTCTCTTCCTTCATCTTCTCCCCTGTAAGTAATTCCCCAGAGGTCCGTGTTTATGTTAACATAGTAAATTGCACATGAACTTCAGGGACACCCTGTATTTGTCTCTATACCTGTCAGCCCACTGTCACCCAGCCCACCTCCGGGACCTGCCTCCTTTCCTTCTTTCTGCTTCAGTTTGTAAATCTCTGTATTCCTGGTGTTCACCACAGTGTCTGGCCTGTAATTCATTCACATTGACGTCTAATGGGTGAATAAATGGATGAAGTCCTGTTATGCTTCCTGAAATTTGAGTATAAAACCAGAGTGGGAAGTTGTAAAATTGGGCCTCAGCCAGTTGAGCAGAAAGTACAACACTTCACAGAGCTAACAGTGGCACCATCCTACATCGCTGCCCAATTTACAATGGAAAGTGGTCGTTAATTGAACAAAATTTCCTGGTGAATCAAATAGTTTATGGTGTTGTTTTCAGTGTCCAGAGTTCCATGCATGCATTTCACACTGATCAACACAAAAATGGTCTTTCATTTATTTTCTCTGTTTGGAGGGTGTCTGGGGAGCTGTGGATCATGGACTCTCAGGTTTGGACTTGACTGGAAATGAAGTCATCTTTTGGGAAAAGAGAAGCACCGAAGCTGTGAGAGTGGGGAGGGCTGCCCTTAATGGCTTATTGTTCTCCTGGCAGATTTTCACGGCTTTGCCGCCCTTCACTCTGGGAATCTTCGAGAGGTCCTGCACTCAGGAGAGCATGCTCAGGTTTCCACAGCTCTACAAAATCACCCAGAACGCCGAAGGCTTCAACACCAAGGTAAACAGGGTGTGCTTATGGAATTGTCACCTCAGAAAGGCATGGCTCTGCTTTCTGCGTTCCATTCTGGTCATCTGCTTGTGAGACAGTTGAAGCTTGAAGGGAACGTTTGAGAAACTTTGATACCACACCCTCCCCACCTACCCACCCCCCCCACACACACATACACACAGCAAGCCCAGTGAATTGGAGATGGTTTCTGGGGTGACGTTCCCATGATGTGTGGGGTGCATCTTTCAGTTCCAGTTTGCTGACTCCTTTCTACCATTTCTGAAGCCTCTGAGGTCAATGTGGCCAGCAGCACCCACACCCCTGGCCCTTCAGGATCAGTCAACAGGGCCCCCTCACCCCCTCACACAGCCTTGTGCTGAGGCCTGCCAGCAGCTTGCCTTGCTGGGTTTTTATTTGGCTAGATCTGCAGCCAGGGACTGAGTGAGTCATGGTTCGTTTTTGCTTGGAGTTTCTTTTGTGTGTGTTTTGTTGTTGTTGTGTTGTTTTGTTTTCAGACCAGAGAATCAGAAAGGAGACAGAAGAGGTGTAGGTAACCCTGAGATGCACAAGCAGAAGCTGGGTTGGATGTTAAAGGATTGCACAGTTTGGAATGGCAAAGGCCAGTCACGGCTGAGAATGGCAGAGTACTCGGGTACCCCTGCCCAACAGGCCGGCGTGTGCCTGGCAGGGAGAGGAGCGGGTGAGATGTAGGCAGGCCTGTGTTTCTGTCTTAGGTTTTTGTGCAGTTAGGATTCAGAAGTTTACACGGAGGTCCGTCACCTGGTTTAGTTACAGTCCTGTGTGTGGCGATGTTCACAATTTGTGTGGGTGGCCCCTGGGGATGACATAACAGTGACCTCTCCAGGCCTCAGCAAGAGCACGGTCTCTGAAGGTTTTGCTTCTGAGCTAAGTGTTACTGACAGGCGTCCTTCACGGCTGCCCTACTCTGAGTGGGTGCAATAGGCACGTCCGAGACTGGACAAAATAAAAGGGACCCTGTTGGTTCGACTTTCTTCCAGAGAGACTTGGGTGAGTGGCTGTATCAAGTGTTGTTCACTTTGATTCTGTTAAAGGGATGACAAGACCCATTTTCTCTGCATTATTTACCTAAATTAATTCTGTTTTCTGGAGAGTTTGAATTCAAAGCCCATTTAAGGGTGGGACATGAGTCGGGAATGGACCTTAGTCAAGGGCAAAAGAGCTGAAAAGGCCCTAAAATTTAGTTTCGGGCACTTTGAAATTTTCCTTTTACTTTCTTTCATTTTTTTTTTTCTTTTGACAGAGAACTCAGAGACAGTGGCGCAAAAGGGGGGAAATCCTATCGTCTTATAATAATGTTTTTTTATTATGTTTTATTGTCCTACCACTATGTAACAATTCCCAGAACAAAGTTGTAGATGTTTAGGTGCATGTAATTTAGCTTTAATAGTTCTGTCACCTCAGGGGTTAAGAGGATGATTAAAATGTGTCAATGACACTAAAGTTTAGGTTAAACTGAACGCGTGTTCTTTCGGTTCACCTTTCAAGCATTAAAATAAAGAGAATTTCTAAACCCAGAAATTAAAGGTTGAACGAGAGAGATCTAAAGGAACCAAACAGAAGCGTGATCACGCTATGTGAGAATTTACAACGAAAACATTTTCTCACGCTTTCAAAAGTACATACGCATTTCAGTCTGTTATGAACAGTTTTCACCTAATACCCTTTTCCTGGGTGGTTGTAAAATGTTGACTCTCCTAACGATAGTGAAGAAAACTGATCACTCCTTTTCAGTCATGAATAGATTGTGTGTTGGTTTGTATGCATGTGGATATGTATTTTAGTCTTTATACTAAAGTAATATCTTACGGAGATAGTCCAGTCTCCTGTAGAGAAAAATTAAGAAATAGTTGGGGGTTTTTTTGTTTTTCAAATTCAAGAGTAATATGCTGCTCCTGGAGCTGGGCAGTGGGCTGCCACAATCCTGCACAGTGCAGCATTTGTTGAGCTACACAGAGGTCAAGAGTTTGGGGGCAGCTCCTGACTCCTTTGGTTTGTTTTTTCCGTAGGTTTTCTGGGGTCACTGCATCAACGCCTTGGTCCACTCCCTCATCCTCTTCTGGTTTCCCATGAAAGCATTGGAGCACGGTAACGGCTTTATGATTTCAACTGTCCATAAGTAACGTCGCAGCTCCTCTGGTTGCCAGCATGTTCACAATTTTTTTTTTCCAGTTCTGTAGAATGAAAAATTACAACACGTTTTACAGGGAAGCCATACCTAAAATCTAATGTGAGCGAGTTCCATGTTTACAGCTCAATTCTGGCTTTGAGAACCCGTTTTCTTACCAGTTGATTGGATGGTGTGAATAAAAGGACTTCCAAACTCAATTTTCAATAACTGTTTGAGTCAGGGATCTTAAGAAAAATGACTGTGCTAAAGTCAGTAGCTCTTGTCCTTGACTTTGAAATTCTCTATTAATTACGTGGGTATCCATTTCCAAGCCTCTTTTCTCCATATTGCAGAATAACTTGAATCTTCTAAGAGTTTAATCTTATTCCTAGTTGTTTTTTAGTTTCCTTTCCTTGATGTACACCTTCTGAGGTTATAATTTTTCTGAGGACTGAGGCTACAATTTCTCTGGAGGGTTTGTAGCCTTTAGAAAGTTGTCTGTCCTCTAGAAGAGGATGTCTGAGAACCATGGCCAACTTTGTGTTAGTTTCCAATTCTTAATACATCCTAACACAGCCTCCTAAAGAGACATACCTTTAGTCTCAGAAAATGAAAATGTATCATGAGAATGCTACTCTTTCATCTCTCTCAAATAGTAACAATGCCCCTGGGAAATATTACTCCAAATGTTGACTAGACAAGGCCTTTTATTGTTCAGAGAACTAAAGAATATAAAGTTTCCAAGCGTCTTTGTTTCTGCCTCAATGTGTTTTATGCTTCAAGCAGAAATGATTCATCCTCACTAATACTCTTTAACCTATTAAATACTGACAATAGAAAATGCATGCTCAGCCAATTTATTATGCCCTATGACCTGTTCTTTCAATTTCATCAGAACTCCTTTGCCTTCAAAGTTCCCTAAGTCTTTAGATCAGAGAATTAAATTTTCCACTTCTAGTCCCAGTCCCATATAAGAGCATTGTAGTGAAATCATTTTCTTATAACTTTAAATCTTTCTTGTGATTCATTTGTACTCATAGTGGAATTAATTTGTTTTAAAAATGGTTTGTAAGTAAGGGTTTGCAAGTATAAGAGGGCTGGCTTTATGCAATTTTGTTTCAGAAGCTATGATTGTCGCCATCACTGTAGCAAGATGGACCTGGTGAAGGGGAACAGCGTGTTTAATGAGTGCAAGAGCAATCTGGGTGGTGATCCTTCTGGACCTGAGCCCAGGCTTTTGCACTTAGGAAGAGAGAGCAAATAGCATGGACTGGCCTCAAGTGAGACTCCCCCCTACCTTTCTTCTCTAGATGTCCTCCTGTGTTTTGAACTCAAAATGTTTTCTCCTTGGACTCTCAGATATTTTACAAGATGGACATTTACTTGCCCATTTCCGAAGGAATTAACGTGGCCCCTTTGTGGCAGAGACAATGGCTTTCTAGTTCTGGAGATATGATCATGTGCTTTGAGTTTGAGGCTTGTAGTTTATGATGGAATTGTTACTGTTTGCCTGGAATTCCATCACGTAAATCCATTCATTTACCTAATGTGCTATATGTTAAAAAGGAAGTAAACTCCCAACAGTTGCTAACTTACCTAAAATTTAACATAAAGTGAACTTTAAGTTTGGTTCTATGATCCTCATCTATTTCCCTGACATTTGGCAAATTGCCTACCAGCCAACCAGTAAGGTGCTTTTTAAATACATATACTATGACCATCAGTGTCATTATTTCATTATATTCACTGACCCTTCAGTATAGGTTTTTTGAAGTTATGTTGCAAACAATAACCTATTGAGTGAAACTGTTTAAGGAGAACTAAATTGCAAACATGAAGTGAATTAGCACTGAACAACAGAAAACCATTGGTGTTCTTGTTCATTAGTTGACTACCTCTGAATATTTTAGAATTAGCACAATATAAAAATTATTACATGATTGCTTGTTAACCTTATTAATTTAGGTAATATTTATGTCCAAAACATAAGGGGAAAACTGTGAGCAGATCAGCACTTGAAAGGTGGAAGATAGGGAAAAGTTTGGGAAGGCAGTTAAACTGGTTTGCAGAGGGCTATTAATGTGAGGTTAGGAAATTGGGATGTAATTGCTCAGGCATTCAAGGGTCAGTACAGCGTCTTGGTCAAAGACAGCTTTATGGCCCTTGCAGTTTGGGAAGATAAACCTATTGTGTTTGTGAATGGTAGAAGGAAAACTGGCGGCAAGGATACTCTGCAGATCTCTGGATGTTCTGGGGGAGAACTTAGGGAGGGTAAAAGCCAGGAATGGGATTGTATTTGGAGAGGAAGGAATATGTTTAAGAAGAACGTATTCGGCAAGATTGTGGCAAGATTGTGGCACACCTGTGACATGTTGGACCCTCTGAGAGTTCCCTGGACATAGACATCAGCAAACCTGATGCTGCCTCTCTTGCCCATGGGGGCTCCCCCAAATTGGAGTTCATGGTCAAGTATTTCCAACCGTCTTAATCACCAGCTATGGGCTATGGTAAGGCTTATCATCATACAGAGACACAACCTGGTCTGCTGAGTCAGGGAGTTCTTGAAAGATGAGTAGGGGTCAGATGGGACAGGAGAGATGTGAGGAAGGTGGGAAGAAGGAGCGTTCCCAGCCAGGACCAAGCAGGTGTACAGGACCTGAGCTTTCAGGGTAGGGGAAGCCTGGACGACTGATTGTTCTTTGTCACACTCTGATGAGTGTTTCAGGACAGTAGTGTGGTAAGCTCCTGCTGTCTGAATGTTCATGTATCCCCCAAATTCCTATGTTTAAACCTGCCCCACAAGGTGATGGCAGTAGGAGGTGAGGCCTTTGGGAGGTAATTAGGTCATGAGTGTGAAACCCTCATGAATGGGATGAAAGCCCTTGCAAAAGGGACCTCAGAGAGCTCATTTGTGCCTCTACCACACAAGGAATGGACCCTCACCCAACACTGAACCTGCCAGTGCACCCATCTTGGACTTCCAGCCTCCAGAATGGTGAGAAATAAACTTCTGTTTACAAGCCACGCATTTATGGCGTTTTGTGGTAGCAGCCCAGACAGACCAACACAGCCTCCTCCCCCTTCCAATCCTCCTGACCACTGTGGATCAGAATGTGCCTCCACCCACTTCCAGTGTCCCCTGCGTGGTGGGCAGCACCACCCCCAGCCAAGTGGCCACAGCACAGAGAGAGGGTCCCGGCTGGAAAAGGGGCAAAGGAGTGAGGGAGGGATCGAGCATGCCTACCTGGTGGGGACATTTTCTCAGTGCAGGGATGGAAGTGGGAGAATTACATGGTGCGGTGGACTGCTCTGCAGAGAAGCTTTACACAGGATTTGTCAAGTGTGTGGGTTGGTTTTTATGTGGGGGAGTGTGGGTGGGGGCAGCAGGGAGTCAGTGGTGGAAATTAAGAAAGATTGTTAAGTTCCAGAGGACCCATATATCAGCTGATTGGATTGCTTGTTTATGTATGCTGATTTGCTGTCTTCAATACAAGTGAGTTCTTATTACACCCTGAATTGCCATTTGGAAAGATGTATCTGCTCCACCCACAAAGAGACCAGTTTGAAACAAACTGGGGTACTTTTCAAAGCCTGTAGAACCCTGGTCTAGCAGATGAGCACCTCCAGGCCTCTCTGCACCCACTAGGTGCAGCCAGAAGCCATCCTTCAGACCCCAGCCCATACCCAAAGCCCCGGAGTGGTATCCCTTGACCAAGGGTTAAGGTCCCTACAGTAGCTTCATCTCTCCATCTGATACTGTGTGAATTATGTCGTAAAGATGGAGAGTTGTACTAGAAAATCCTCTCTTCACCATCAATGTAGAGAGGCTTGGGTACATACAAGGGCTGTTTACTTTGAGCAAGGCAACATAATTATCGGGAAGAAAGATTTTTGAGAAGGTGTGGGTACATTGTTCATTCCCTAGAATGCTTCCAGGAATTTTGCTTTGCTTATTTTTGTGTGGTTTTGGAGAGACTTTTCAAAGCACTCCTTTGCTGATGGAGTTTGTGATGATTCATTTCAAGTTTCAAAATAAATTTTTCCACTCAAGCAATTCAGTAAATCAGATTTCTTCCAACCATCACAACCTTATGCTTACTCCCATGGTGTGCCAGCAGCTCCCACCCTGTGATCTGAAAAGTGATTCTAGGTTAAAACCAGGATGTCACCTTCACAGGGACCAAGGTTCATCCGGAGCCCTTGTGTCACCCACACTAAGCTTTCCCACTGGTGTGTCCAGCTAGCATAATTGAGCAACCGTTCTTGAAGTAGAATGTGGTTATTGGCAAAAGAACATAAAATCAGTTTTGATTTTATAACAGGAAATTTTCAGATTTTTCTCGATGGAATTTCAGAGGCAGCTGATGGAAAGAGAATATACTTAACAGCAGAAAAGGGCTTCTAAAAAATTTGTTCTTGATTCCTCAGAGCCCACACCATGGAAACAATTGCTTCACCTTTTAAAAAGAAAAATTACCATATGGATACTTATGTATAGAAACTAATTCAACTATGAGGCTTTTCAACATTTTGGGAGAAGACTATTTTATACTTTTTAATAAATGTGTAAAATAAAATTTAGCATACCTCTCTCTGCCTGTGGCACTGTGAGGTCTTTTTAGGTTAAACTATTTCTGACTTTTGTATGTCCTGTTACTGTAAACTTGAGTGTTTTATATCATGTAAATCCTGATGATTTGCATTATTTCCCATTAAGCTAAATTTGGGCAGGACCGCCACCGTTCTCTGAGGTTGCAACTTCTTAAATGCAATTATTCACTCATTAAAAAAAACAGAAGATAAATGAGTGTGCTCCTCCTGGTGGGTTCTGGGGATGCAGTAATGTATATAACAGACAGGTCCCCTGCCATCATGGGACTTACACCTCGAGAAGGCCAGACTGGAACAAGCGTGTTACCAAAGCAGAAGGTCAAGGTCAATGGAAGGTATTCCAAGGAAAACTAACCTGGGCTGGATT